TTGCAGATTCTGGGTTTCTTCAGCATCTGCTTTAGTGAGGGATTCTGTGTAGAGAAAAAATAAAGTGGGTTGTTTAAAGTTTTGAATGCCATGTCATTTCAATGGAAATTAAATAAACAGTTTTTCAGATATTTTGGTTCTGAGTAGTGGACCCACACCGATTTGCAAATTCTGAATCTGTAGTGCTGAAGAGTTGTAAAAATTTGTAATGAAACAATAGTACAGAAGAGCATCACAATGTTAACAAATCCTTTGGTGTTGCTGCAACTGTGTTTGTCAAGCAGTGACATCATTATCCGTAGAACCTGATAGATGGGAGACACATTGCTGAAGCAAAGCTGGGCGAAAAAGAAACTCGTGGTTCTAGCCCTATGCCTTCTAATGGTTTACTAGCTCAGTAAAACTCGCTATTCTGTAAATTGTGAAAGATACTATGAGAATTAATCTGTGCTTTGTAATACTTTGAGTGTGATCTATTGGCACCTGAATCCTTTTCACGTTATATACGTGTCCAGTTTCTAGCATATGGATGCAAAATCTTTCACTATTGAAATAAATGGGAACATGTTTAAAATGCTGATAGAGTTTGGAGAGGTTAATAATTATTAAAAAAAAGAAGAAAATATGTTTATTGCTACTAAGAGCATGATTGAATATTTCTTAGATCTGACACCTGAAAGCATGTGGCACAATGTGCTTTTCTCAGGTGAAGCTTTGGGCTCAATAAAAGTTAGAACAGTGAGCATAGTGGGAGTAACAATGCAAGCTTTTTAAAGTAGCTTTTCCATGTTTTGTAGTCTACGTTAGCTCTCAGTACTCATCTAGACTGCTGTAGAGCAGACTGCACATTGTACTAAAGAGTGTGTCAGATTGGGGCCCCAAAGCTCGGTTGTCTTAACAAACAGCTTTGCAGCTCTAATTGAAAAGCACGGTGCTTTTGATTTCTGCTCCAGTGGCTGTCCTTTGTATCTGTGTTCTAATAAACAATACATACAGTGTGAGGATTGAAGCTAGCTTGGAATAAGTCATCTGTGTTTATCATCTGGCATAGCTTTTCTGTAGTACCAACAGATAAAACTTGAGTGAAATTGAGTGGACTGTTAGAAGATACACAGATCATAACAAAACTTTACTATGAGTTGGAATGTGCTCTTTAAGTAGTCTGTTCTCTCATTGAGAAATGAGCCCTGTTCCCTGTGTATGCTTCATCAAAATATGTCACGTTTGAAAATCTGAAATCTCTTGCCATTCGTAACTCTTTCTGAATACATGGTCAGATCCTGCATACACTACTTTTGTAACTAGGAGCAAGTGCTTTTCTTTCTACTTCAAAGAGCACACCTTAATCCAAAAGAGCATTAGTCTGTCAATTTGAAAAGTACTTCTATGATCTCACACAACTCAAACTTCATTGAACCTGTTGCTCTGATGCCACGTTGGTTTTGAACTAGTGTAATTCACTTATTTCATTAGTAGAACGAAGGTAATGAATTTACAGCAAGGAAGAGTTTAATCAGATTCTTCATTTATGTATTCCTCTTACCTGAGTGATCAGCAGACCTGAGTTCTCTTTTCAGGCGGATGGGACCTACTACGGTATGGGTTTTCCATGTGTATGAAGAAATAGCTCTTTTTTGCCTGGAGATACAGCCTTCGGTACAGCGAGAGTTTGCGTTGTTGCTGTCACAAATTAAAATGTCACACTGGAGATAAACTGATGGAAAGCTCCGCAGGAACCTGAAGGCGTTAAATTTGAATCGTCCATAGTGTTCAAGTGTTGGGTAGGTTACCACAGTGTCATCCTTACTGCAACTGCAACAGAAGTTACGGAGCTGTTAAAGTAGTCCACATACAATAATCATTCTTGCCAATTACTGTTAACTGTAACTACAGCACTTAACTAGGGCATTATTTTTACATGTGGATGAACAATGATGTGCTTTTTTTTCCTCTCCTCAGTGCACTATGGTGCTTGTTTTTCCTAGCTTATTTATGCATTGCCTTTAAATTCTGATGAAATTTAGCTTTCAACCACAGTCTACTAAAGAAAATAAGTGGAAGAGAGACAAAAATAAAAGACCTACAGTTGACATTTAGATTATATTTTCTCACATATTAGGAGACAGTAATAAAATTAATTTAGAGTCTTACCCACTTCTGATTAAGTCATACGTTAGCGATCCAAAATCAGGTTGTGGAGATGCGATACAGGTGTCAACAAACACCAGAAGATTTGGGTCAGTGGAATGAACGCTGACTTGAGCAAAAAGAGTTTGGTTCAGGTCTACGTAATATGGGGACTGGCGTACAGGCTTGGAGAATGAATCTGAATCATAGAATGACATGCTAACGTTGTATCTTCCCACAGCAGTTGTGTTTTGGATTATATTATTTTTTGTTATGTAAATGACTTCTAAGGTTGAATTGTTTTCCATTTTACATTTCGCAATAATCTGAACGCTCTTTTGACGGGTGATAATGCTGCCAGTTGCAGAGAGAGATACGATGTTGGTATAAGTGATGCTCTCACCATCATCCTGTAAAAGGAATCATATGAAGTGCTCAGTTGTGATTATCTGAGCAGTGCAGTTGAAAGCAATTGTATAAAATTACAAAGCCACCCGGATGGTCTTATCAGAGGCTCAAGATACCTTTGAAATGTTGAAACAGATTGCAACCAAAAACCCACTATCAATCCTCCTTTTTTTTCAAAACACTGAACCAAGCTATGCAGCAAAAAGGTTAAGGAATAACACATGGAGTTTGGAAAGTACCAAGGTTGCGCTTCAGTCACCATTAGCAAAACGATGCTATGAACTAGCTCGTGGGAATCTTCACATCTTAGGGGTTCCCCCCCACCCCCTTTCCTTGTGACTCCAGGATAAGTGCCAGCTATATCTTTACTTAAGTTATGTACCTAGCATTGTGCTACTTCTGATAACCTGGGTTGGAGAGGGAATGAAACATTCGGGTTAATTTGCATGGATTCTCCCCGACTTCCTTTGAAAAGCTCAGGTTCTTAACGAGGAGAAACGTTCTTTTTGCTTCAAGACTGGAAACGTGCAATTGGATGAGCGAAGTGAAAGTAAATCTGCTGTTAGCTTATTCACACGCTATTTTAAACTGCTTTTATGAGCTCCTGTCATTCGTAAACTATTGTTAGCTTCACATAACTTTGATCCCACTTTACCTTTTTAGTTGTTCCACAGCTGGCTAATGGGAAGGAAAAGATCACAGACTCTGTTATAACTGGACTGCAAGATGGATCATTCAGCTGTAGGTGAGTTTCGTTATAACCAAGGGAGGCCAGATAAGACTTGCTCAGGACAATTTTCATGCTATCTGAAGAGCATGTGAGCAATGCTGCCATTGAAAGAGAAATAAAAAAACGTTAACAAACTGTGCTGCTGTCATTTCTCAGTTGGTCTAGATCCTTGGACCTGTTGCGTGGTATTTGATTTGTCAGTCTGAAACGGCTCATGCATGTTTGAGGTCATGCAGAACAAAATTTCATGCTTTATGTGGTATTGCTGTAACTTCAAAAATGTTAGATAAGCAAAACCATGTAAAACTTCTGCTGAACGTTTAATTTTAAACCCAGTAAAACAATGAATTGCAGCCTTTGTAAAAGGGGAGAAGAAATCAAAGTGCTAGTGCAGAATGGTCAGCAAGGAAATTGATAGCAGACATTGAGGCTTTAGAGGCGCATTCTCCACCTCAGTTAATGAGATGGGCACATAAACAAATGGAACCAATAAGGAAAATGCTCCAGCTCTGGGGGAAAGGGAATTGCAACACACCTAAACCCTGTTTGACTAACCAGTGCAGACCCTTTTCCTAACTAACCAGCCAAAAAAATTTCATCTTTACATCTCCAGGATGGTAACAATACCTGCTTTGTCCAAAAGAAGGAAAAACTCAGATTTTCAGTGGTGCTGGCCACAAAAAGGACCAGAAAGTGAAACAACAGTCTTTCTTTCACAGGTGGGTCAGGTAATAACTTATGCTCTATAGGTGAGACTAACGTGGGATTTTTATATTTAAAGAGGGTTAATGACTACCTATAAAAAGGCTTAAATCTTCAATATCAACCATCAATTCTTTTCGATATTTATAAGGGAAGCATCATATGTGAGAATAAGGAACAGCATCCTATTTGTGTAGCAAGTGTACTTACTGTCGGGCTCCACAGGACCTGGCAGCGGAGCACTGGTATACTGAGCAGAAAATCCTTTGTAGGAGTTGGCGTAGTCTGTAGACAACACAACTGTCATAACATTTGAAGAAGATTCAAATGCGGGCTGAGCACGACCACATACTTTTCCTATTAAGCCAGTGTTAGTGGTGAGGCCATCATAGACTGCTGTGAAGTCAAATTGGCAGTTTCGGTCTAGTTCCAGGCTGTAGACAGAGAAAAAAATAATTACGAGGAAATCTGAGTATAGAGAACATTGCCCATAATGGAGAGAGGATCTAGTGCAGATACTTTATATCTGATGAATTCCAGTTGACTGAAAGAGTGGAGAATAAAAGAACACATAAATAGACATTATTAAACCCAAATAAAACATGGAAAACCCTTAAAGGCAAGAAATGCTTAATAAGAGTGTGATTCTGCTCCCATTGAAATAACAAACATTTTGCTATAGTTCTCAACAGAAGCTGGATCAGCTATGTTTTTATAGCTATGGTACTACATATATTGATTGCTACTTATTTACTAAAAATAACACCTTCAGATACATTTTTTTATATATATATACACACGTATAAAAACAATCCTGTTTCTTAAAATAAAGAGCTTTTAAAGTGTAGGGTTGACTTAGTAGGTCTCTGAAACCTCTTGTGTGTGTCACCAGGAGAAGGCTCTTGCCCTTTTTATCACTCTGCCTGAGAGCTCAGCTCAGTGCTTGCCGCCCTTGGTGAAAAGCACCAGCTGGGCTGTGGTGGGGTACTGGTACCTCCGGAACATCTCTGTTCCTGAGCGAGCAGATGGACTCTGGCCAGGACTGGTGAGAACATACACCACACTGTGCAGAGTTCATCGTCTCAGAGGGCAGCGGTCAGGGTAACAATTTCCTATAGAACCCTAAACATTCCATACTGAATTATTAGACAGCATTCTGCAGTCTGAATCTCTCAAGAAATGTTCTTGAAGATACTACCCTTTCAATTCCCTTGATCTTGAGACTTTCCTCCATGCACAGTGTCAGCTGATGCAGGGAAAGCCAAAAAAGGTCTACCAGCCCTCTACATATGGGACAGCAGCCCTGATAAAGAGCAATATGGGTCAGGGAGGTCTGTGCCGGTGTGGTTTCCTTACGCCGATTAACAATTTCCTATAGAACCCTAAACATTCCATACTGAATTATTAGACAGCATTCTGCAGTCTGAATCTCTCAAGAAATGTTCTTGAAGATACTACCCTTTCAATTCCCTTGATCTTGAGACTTTCCTCCATGCACAGTGTCAGCTGATGCAGGGAAAGCCAAAAAAGGTCTACCAGCCCTCTACATATGGGACAGCAGCTAAAGAGCAATATGGGTCAGGGATGTACGCCGATGCACCTGTTAGCATTTATACTTGGAAGTACTTAGGCCAGTGCTACGTTATCTTCTTTGCCCAACGGCCAGCAATACTGAAGAGGATGAACTTTGGGCAATATTTGCTTTATTCTTCTTTTGACCCTCCGTTCTAAATTGCAAACACCGTGCACATGATGGTTTTAAACACATTCCTTATGTAGCAAAAACTATTTCTGCTGATGGATTTAAATTCAGATCATTCAGGCTAGCTTAAAATGGACCTGCACCTGATGGCTAGTCACCTGAAATGCTTTCTGCATTTCACTGGCTGGCACTGCAGTAGCTATAGGGGCATGTATAGTGATGTGGAACACACTGCAATTACTTTATCATAAGAGTCATCAAAGCATGTTTGTTTTAAAAGTGTACAGATGTTCTAAAAGTTTGAAGGCACTTCTGCTTCCTGTGTTTAATGCCTTTCAACAGAATGAAAAAAGAGTAATAGAGCATTAGGGCATTTACTTACAAAAAATCCTGGAATTTTAAGTTTATCTTCGAGTTTTTTGCTGTCTGTATGTGCCAGACGCAGTATGCAAACTCAGGGTAGGCTGCTGGGTAGTTGGGGCTGGTAAATGTCCCATTGGGACCAGTTAATTGTCCCCCACAATTTTCAATTTCTGAAAAGAAGAGTAGATATATTGTAACATAATAGTACAGATGAGCCATAAAAATAAATTAAGGACCTAAAGCTATGTAACTAGCAGGATTGTTTCTGTAGGATTCCATTCATTTGGAAATGAATAAAAGTACTGAAGATAGAACTTCTACAGAGAATTCCAGGGCAGGTGGATGCTACAAAATGCAGCCTGTTGTTACTATGGTATATCTGCAAGGCACAGTGTAATGACATCTGAGATACCCAAAATGTAGATATAACTAAATTGCACACAGTATCAAAGCTAACTCATCTACAGGTAAGTTAGGTGCCATCTTGAAAAACTGGTAATGCTACACCAACCAAAAGAAACCCCGAGAGACTTTATATTACAGAAATCTATGAGGCCTTGGTCATGATCTACGTCGAAGTGCAAAATCTTCAAGTCTGAGGAAGATTTTACGTGATAGACAAAGGCAAAATAAAATCAAATCAGTGGAAACCTCAGAAAGACAAATATAGACTGGAAACAGGGCACAATTTTTCAGCAGCACAGTTAAACACTGGAGCAGCATAAACTAGGATATGCTAGCTACTCTGTAAAATTGAAGCTTTTAAGAGCTTAATACCATGCCACTCAGATCAGCAGAAGCAAGGGATCTGGTCACAAGCTAAAACTGATTTTGTCCAAGCTATTCTTATCTTTTAAGGAAAAAAAAAGTGAGGAGCTTGTTGAATGAAAACGCTGTGACTTCTGTGACCCGTACTCGGCAGGAGTTCTGACTAGATGCTCATATTCTCTTTCTGAGTAAATACTATAATATTTGCAAACTGACTAAAGGTGTTAGAAGCCTGTAAATAAAAGTGAAGTCCCATAATGCCTTCTTTGCAATCATTTTTGTGAGTAAAATGTAACTTTTTAGGCTCTCTGTAAGTGCACTATTGTTTTGCTGCTTATTTCCTTTCACTGATTTCCCCCCACACCATTCCCTAAGGCCTGAAGAACTGAGTGAGACTAATTAAAGATTCCCTTAATGGGAAAGTTTCTTTTAATGGTGCAAATCAAATGGTATTTTAATGACTTACTTGTTTCTGGTGAAAAGTAGTAATAGAAGACAAAGAAGTTTCGTGTGAAAGCCGCAGAATTTGTTGTTATGAGAAAAGTTAAACTGTCTGAAGATGAGTGAAGCACTGGGACTGCATCAGTGTCGTTACATACTTGTCCAAGAAGAGGTGAATTAGTTGAGGGACCGTCATATACTTTAATACTTTCTGTTTCACAGCTTGAAGAAGGAGCAAATCTTTTGAAAAAACACAGTGAGAACTACCTAAGCTCGCTGACAGATATACAGGCTCATTGGAGTCCACAACACAGATTCAATACAGAGAAATATTTGGAGGCAGTACAAAAGCATTTAGAGGAAATACTTACTTAAAATAGGAGAAAATGAGCCTAATTGTTTGGTTTGCGTTCCTCTGGATTTGCCAAACGCAGCTTGCATTTGCATTCAGTTCAATCCTTAATGCTTTGTTGAGGTCATGAAGTGAAGCACCGCAGCGAGGTACACCTAGTGCAGAAAGACAACAACAAAAGACAGCTTGCGAGGATGTCTCTCAAGTTTTGTCTTGCAATAATATTTCATCCTGCACTATGGAAAGTCCATCATGGAACAGACATGCAAAATGTTGTACTAGTTTTATTTTTCATTTATATTACTGCAGTTTATGGAACCAGAAGAATCAAATAATAAATGAAATTAGAAAATACATTTTATCCTTGTTTTCCCAGGACCAGAGAAAGTTAGGCGAACACATATTACAGATGAAGCCAATGGCAAAACTGGAAATGCTGAGTGATACGGGATACCTGAGCAATTCTCTTTAGCCAGGTTTGTCACCGCAAGCACTTCAAGCCTCTGGTCTTCTCCCTACACCGATTTCATAAAGATCATTGAATCCAGTTCTAAGGTTCAGCCCTTTACTTAAAAGCATTTGTGAACCTGTGCCTAGGGAATCAAAAAGACTTTCAGATTTGAGCTTCTGAAGGACTGTGTGTAGTATTACTGTATATTTACTGCTGCATGCAGTTCTGACCCTCCATCTGTATAAGCGTACTGCTGAACAGGAAAAGCTTCAAAGAACGAATGGCAACGAAGATGATCAAAAGTTTAGAATAGCTTTGAGACAAGGAATCAGTACATGGACTGAAGCATTTCAGGTCAGAAAGGGGAGAACCAGGGGGTAAGGTAGGTGCTAGAGGTCTGTAAATTCATGGAGAGCGTTAACATGAGATATTCTCTTCCAGTACAGTAACTCAGTGGCCTGGAATGAAACCATTAAGTTGTGGTTTTGAAACAAACAAAAGTAACTGGCTCATTGCATGTGGATCTTTGCCGCAGGGTGATGTGGATGGTAAAAGTAAAACATAAACCAGGTCAAATCCCTGAAAGAAGCAGCCTTTGGTAACTATTAAACACAAAGATAGCATTTCCTCTGTTTCAGAAGTCCTGAACCACATTTGCTGGTGACTGGGAGAGTGTGCTGGGGGAGTATTATGCAGGCTTGTATCCATATTCTTGCCTGAGCATCCATTCTTGACCATTTCTGGGTTCAGGATGTGGGGCTAGCTGGGTTTCAACCCAGTTCTCTTATGAAAAAAACCACAAACCAACCATGGTTGATATCACTGACATCACCTAGTAAGTTATGAAGTAGTTGCAGTAATGGCCTTTGTATAGGAAACTTTGGAGAACTTTTATCATCCAGAGCGGGCATAAGATCTCCTTTCTACTTTAACATTAATCTAAAAATAATGGTCTAAAGCAGCAGGAAGAATTTCCTATACAGTGTATGCAGTCCTATATAAAAAGGTCAGGTTTTCTGATGAATTCCAGAGAGAAAAGAAAGGTTTAAAAGAGACCTTTCTCATCACATGTGAAACCTCTCAATTGTAAGAGCGTTACAAGGTCAGCCCTATGCTCCCTCTCATCCCTCTGGACTCTTCTGCAGCCAGGCACCACTAGAGCAGCTCTGCAGCAATATTTCAGTATCCCACAGTAGCTACCCACCATTAATCAGGGAAATTCCTGATCTGAGCACAGAATGGTGATCCCAAACCAAGTAATGAACGACTTTTTATTGCTTCTGATTGAACAAAGGAAAAATGGCTACCCACCATTAATCAGGGAAATTCCTGATTTGAGCACAGAATGGTGATCCCAAATCAAGCAATGAACGACTTTTTATTGCTTCTGATTAGAACAAAGGAAAAATCAACCAATCTCTTTTGAAAAGCAACCCTTTCCCAATTAAGTCACTTTATTTCTGTTACTCCAATATAGTAATAATTTATAAATGCAAATTTCCATTCTAGAGTAAAATATCTTCAAAATCAAGTTCTTAAGTTAAAAATTTGCCATAGGAAGTCATATATTGAATTATTTTTTTATTTACCATTTTTAACACTTGCTGGCACATCCAGGCATTACTATTGTGCAGCAGTACATTAAAATAAGAGGCACTTTTAGAGATACGTTTAACACTTTTCCTTTCAGTTGCCTGTAAAATACCTATTGTGAATAATGAGTAAAATTTCACTGATGAAGTAAAGACTCGATTTCCATACCCGTGGATTCTATTGAGTTGTCTTCAGCAAGAGCTAGAGCAGCGAGGAGAGGCAGGAGGAGGAGCTGTCTGAGCATCTGCATTTTGCTGGCAGCTGGGGAGGTTAGGCTTTTCTAACTTTTATACCTCCTGCTATTTCATAATCGTCCTGTATTACATGGTGTCATGGAGGAAGGGCCTAATCTCTCAGTTACTATTTCTTCTTAACAGATACAAATGAGAAAGTAACAGATGTGCCTTTTTTTTTTTTTTTAATACGTACCATGTGGAGTAAGTTTACCTGTGTTTTTGTCAGCTCTCGTGGGTTCAAAGCACGTTTTTCAGTAGGTTTCGTTGAGCGTCTGTTTGGGTGTGTTGACATGGGCAGGAATGTTCTGGAGGGGATGTACAGACTCCCTTGGGAGACACGTTCAGCAGTTTGCTCTTAGCAATGGTCGGCGGGAGCTTGGTTTTACCCGCCTTCATTTTGACACCTATGCCTTTAGGTTACACTGGGCATATCATTCCCTGTCCTTGCTGAGGATTCCTCAGGTTGTAAAGTGCGACTGTCTTAATAGAGTTGTCATGAGTAACAATTCCCTATTGCTGAAACATTCACAGATGAACAAGGCCGGATTCGTGTTAGTTACAGATTTAGAAGAAGATTGCACTGCAACCACTTGGCAGATAAAACTTTCTCAGTCCCACAGTAGAAGCTACGAAAAAAATAAAAGAATCAACCTTTCCTTCCCAAGGAAAGGAAACAAGCACAGTCCTAAAAGCCTCAATTCCTTCTAGCACGAGTCTAACGAGCATTGGTTCCGACATATTTACAATACTTTGTCTGTTTTTCCATAAGGACCAAAGCTCTTGAAATCCACAGTATTTCCTACTACAGCAGCAGATAACCAATCTTTAAAGCTTCTAGAGGTTGTGCCAGTGGCGCAGATGTGGGATTCCCCTGACCTCGGTTTGGTGCGGTACCTGCCTGGGGTGTGAGCGGCCAGGCTTCACCCAGGAGCCACCTGCCTCTGTGACTCTTTCCAACACAGGGAGCAGGTATCCCACAGCTGTACAAACAGATGTTCTCTCAGCTTTACTAGAGAAGTCAAATTGCAATGCAGACCTTCTTGAAACCCATCTAGGTACTTTTCTTTCATAAAACTTTTTTTTTTTTTTGGTACAAAAACTTTTTTTTAATCAACAAACTGAAATGCATCTGTAATGATCCTATATTTCTAATCTCAGATCTATGCCTTCTTTAAAATAATTCTCTCTGATTTTTAACTCACTTTGGGGAGTTTGAATGCAACTCTTCCTCATGACAATATACTTATATTGCCTCTAAACATGGAGGCACAGAATACATGTAAAAAGACATTGCATGGCATTTGAATTCCCTTTAACTTCTGGAAATGCTAAATTTGCATTTAGTCTGTATAGCCTTTCATTTCTTAAACCCACACACATACTTGCAAGGAATTTTCAGATGCTAGCATTCATTTTGTGTGCATTTAATCTGTGAACTGGTATGTGGAGCCCTGCCAATTAATGCTGTGGCCATCAGAACCAAGAAAAAAATGCCGATGGTACCCTGGTAATTTATTCTGGTAGTTACAGGTCAAACTGTTTGGAACTACTTGGGCAGAGAATGGATTGAAAGCAGCCCTGAGGAGAAGGATTTGGGGGTGTTGATTGATGAAAAGCTCAACGTGACCCAGTAACGTGCGCTTGCAGCCCAGAAAGCCAACTGTATCCTGGGCTGCATCCAAAGCAGCGTGACCAGCAGGTCGAGGGAGGGGATTCTGCCCCTCTACTCTGCTCTCCTGAGACCCCACCTGCAGTACCACATCCAGCTCTGGGG